ATAATTTCTTCCCACTATTTAATCAAAGTCTACCCTGCTCCAGTTTAAAACCGTCGCCCCTCATCCTATCCCTACACACCCTTGTAAGCAGTCCCTCCCCAGCTTCCTTGTAGCCCCGTCATAGAATCCTAGAACAATTCAGGTTGGAAAAGACCCTTGGGATCATCAAGTCCAACCATTAACCCTACACTGCGAGGTCACCCCTAAACCATATCACCCAACACCCCATCTAAACGACACTTGAACACATCCAGGGATGACGACTCAACCACCTCCCTAGGTGGTTGAGGTGCTGGGAAGCCCCTACAAGGTCTCCCCAGAACCTTCTCTTCTCCAGGCTTCTCATCTCCCCCACTCTGAGCCCCACCGCGTGGCCTCCCACAGCACTCACCGAAGGATGGAGGGCTGCCCCTTCCCTGATGCGGGAGGGAGGGGATGTGGTGGGCAAGGCCCTGCCCCACAGCAGGCAGGTCAGCCAGCCTGGCAAGGAAATTGCACCGTTTTCTTTCATCCACAAAAACCCAAAATAAATCATGGAATCGTAGAATTGTTTGAGTCGGAAGGAACCTCAAAAAGATCTTCTAGCTCTCCCCCTGCCATGGGCAGGGTCACCTTCAGTAAACCACGTTGCTCAAAACCTCGTCCAGCTGGAGCACCTCTCCTGTGCAGACAGACTGAGAGAGTTGGGGTTGTTCAGTCTGCAGAAAAGGCAGCTACGAGGAGACCTTATTGTGGCTGCCAGTATCTCAAGGGGGATACAAGAAAGCTGGAGTGGGGCTTGTTAGGATGTTGGGCAGTGACAGGACTAGAGGGAATGGATTGAAGCTAGAGATGGATCGGTTCAGATGGGACGTGAGGAAGAAGTTCTTCCCCATGAGGGTGGCGACACTGGCACAGGTTGCCCAGAGAGGGGGTGGCAGCCCCATCCCTGGGAGTGTTTAAGACCAGGCTGGATGGGGCTCTGGGCAGCCTGATCTAGTGGGGGATGTCCCTGCCCATGGCAGGGGGGTTGGAACTGGATGATCTTTGAGGTCCCTTCCAACCCTGACAGTTCTACGATTCTACAACCTCCAGGTGTGAAGCATCCAAAACTTCTCTGGGCAACCCTGTCCCAGTCTCTCACCACAAACGTAGGCAGCGTCCACTGCAGATCAGTGCTTGCTGGAGTCTGCAGTAAGCAGCATGGTTATGTTCCGCATCCTCAGGTGCTCAGTGCTCATGTGAACCTCAGCCAGGCACTGCTGGGCTGCAACCCAGGAAAGGCACCATTTGAGTGTCTCAGTACACTCTGACCAGCAGCAGGGCAGTGGTGGGGCTCCAGCTGGCATTACCCTCATTGCGGTCCCACAGGGGCACCATAGCCAATCAATAACACTGCTCCAGGGACCATGCATACCAAAGCCAGTCCCTATATTTGCAATGATATCAACAGCCATTTGTATAAGATCAATTTGTATAAGAAAAGTGGCAAATATTAATACACATCCTTAAGAGTGACAGAGTAGTAGTTTTCCTCATCCCAGGCTCAAGGTTGGAGCCAAAATCACGAGCTAAATAGATATGGTCATCCAGTACATTGAAGCAGAGAGACAATCCTCTGTAGTCATCAGAATATAGTGGGAAACACTAGGTAATCAGAAGAAAGAGAGTCCACAGAAGCCAGAATAACTTAAAGCAGTATCACTCTTCCAAAAAAGACAAAAACCCACATCCAGAAAAAAACCCCAAACAAAAATCCCCACACACCAAAACCCCACAACCCAAAGCATGTCTCAGTTTAAAAAAAAAAATAAAAAAAAATCCCAGCTTGTATTGTTTCCCCTTCCTAGTGTATTTAAGTGCTACAAAACACTAACGTGAACAGCACCACATAGGTAGAACCAAGACAGTTTGTTTGGAGACAGGAGTTACCACAGCAAACATTAACTTAATCAGTAGCTCAGGGAAAAGGCGCAGAGCCCATTTCTTATCTTTATGACTTTATCCATACTTTTAAAGAGCATCAGATTACTGGTGAAATTATGTGGCATGCTCAATTAAAATGCAATGTCTTGAAGAGGGCTCAACTTAGATAAACTTTTTCCTGCACCCCGCTAAGAACAGGTTGTTTTTCACTTGCAAAGATTATCGTAACTCAAGCTTATCAGCTATTACAGCTCCTGCGCAAACAAAAATTCAGCCCATAGCTGTGGAAAGTCTACAGTGTTAGAAAACAAACAGAAAAAACCCCTCTGTTTAGAATAGACTTGAGCATGGAAATCCACAGTTTGACTATGACAAAGAAACTGATAACGTTGTTAAGACCAGTTTATCATAAGGAAGCGCATGAAGTTTTTCAAACATTTTTTCCCTCCCAGAAAAGCAGAGAGACAGCTATAAAAGCACTTGTGAGACAGTACAGACACAGAAGTTGAAATCGCATCATTGCCAAATCAGAAATAAGCATGTGACAGTGAAACTAAGCCCAGGAAGCCCAGGACACGCTGTTCTGTATTAGGCCATTGCCCATATTGTGCATTTCCAGCAAGAAGGACAGAGGTAGCTTTTGGGCTGGGTTACGCTTAAGTCATGTAACAGCAGCCTCTAGTGGCACCGGGAGTTTTCCAGCAGACCTGTTAGGAAACAAGGGGAGGAACGTGAGACAAACTCCAGCAGCATCAAAGCCCTGTTCTGGGAAACCAAAAACGAAAACGTGCTTCCAGATAATCACAGGAGATACCAGAAGAGTCAAGAGATAATCTCTGCACTGCTCCTAGTCCCATCATCAGTCTGAGCATGACACCTTTTGCAAAGGAAGTCTTGAGTTTCACTTGGAAATAAAGTACAAGAACCCCATTGTTTTAGCTGCAAAATTGCCAAATTTCATGGAGTGTCATTAGCTGAAGTCTGATTAAATAACTCAAGTAATTAAGTCTTGAGCACCCAAGACTTCTTGTCTTTTCCTCAAGTCTGTTTTAAGAGCAGTTCCTAACCAATGTGTTTTTGTCTGGGCCAAATCCCCATCATCTGAGGGGACTTCAGTAATACACGTGGGTACCACTTAGTTACAATCTGTGTTAGATAATTGGATTAACTATCCCTCTGCCCACAGACTTTCTAGATATGCTCCACCACTGTCAGAGGCCTTAAATGACTTTTCTGTAAAGACACTGTGAACACCAGGACACATGGGAGTTTATCCAATGGGTAGTGTCAGAGGGATTCAGTATATGTCCTCCACAATCACAGTCTTCAGAAATCTGAAGTCAACTCATGATGGATTTTGTAAGCTGTGCTGCAGACAAATATACTTCGAGTTTAAACATGAAGCATCACAGCATTGCAGGAGCTAAAGGTTTCAGTGCAATCAAAACTGAGGATTTTGAAAAAGCCAGTCTGAAGTGCATTGATTCACCTGTTCAACAGGGGAGAACACCTGGTGTCTATTACAAAATACCTTTAAGTGCCATCTTAATATGCATTCTATTAAAAGTACACTCATTTGGCAAGTTTTGCAGCATGTCATAAGTCATCAGAACTCAAGCAGATGGCAGACAGCTAACCCAAAAGCAAAAAAAAATAAATTCACAATCTATGAAGCAGCCTCAGCATTTATAGCATTCAGAAGAGCACCATTTGCTTAATAATCCACAACTGTATGACTGGCTTCAGGAATAGCCTTGCTTCTGCTCCGTGCTTAGCGATACAAACCTATGTATTATTCTTAGTTGCTTTATCGGCCACATTACGATGATTTCTTGAAACCTTTTAAAATGGGGTAGATGTTCTCAAACGCCTCATAGATTTCAGAACGTTCTTTTGCTCCTAGAAAGACATTTAGAAGAAAAAACAAGAATTAACAGACTGTTGAGAATAACTGAATGCAACTCAAACCCAATAATTACAAACAATGAAGAAACACAGGAGTTTAAAAGCAGCTTATCATTATTTTAAAGCAGAGCTTCTATCTTACTTCTGCCACCTCAAAGGATATTTTTAGCTTGCTTTAAGACTAGACTAGTTTTGTCTTATCTGCAGAACAAAACTAGGAGTTGGCTACTCTTAACAGGTGCAAAACACTGGCTTTCAAAAATAAAAACAACAAAGCAACTGAGAAGAACAGTGATGTTATCTGCTAAACAGTAACAGCTCAGCCTGTTGATAAGGGAATTGGAAAGGTAGAAACAAGAAATGAAGGACATTTATTCCAATACTGGAAGTTGATCCACATTTTTAGAACTTCCCTCCTCCAGTTCTGAGGAGCTATTTTTAGGCTTTGTTAGGGTACTCACAATTTCAAAGCTAGCCTTTTCCATGCTACAGCAAGCAAATCTTTAATACCAAGTCTTGTACACTAACTCTGTTGCAAGAAGGCAGGAATATTCCTTGGCAGTGACAGTGACCCATCATGCTAGTCCAGCAAACACGAGCTATAAGAAAAACCATGTTTAAAAATGGACTAGCAGTTGGACAAAGCATCACTCAGGATAAATGTGTATCCTTGCCCTCAGAAAACACTTGGACACAACTAATAAATTACAAAACCTTTTGCCTACAAAAGTTATTTTAGGCTACTTTCTTAACGAGGGGAAAACCTCAGAGCTCGGCAAAAGCGGTTTCGTCATGACAGTTGGGCCCAGCGGTCACAGAGAAGGACTTAACCTTAGTGCTTCCGGGCCTGCTGCATACTCAAGGGTGTTGCAGTTAGCATACCCCAAAATACAAGTATCAGCAAAATGGAACTGGCAGTATGATTTTACTAGCCCTACGAAGCAGGGGCTGGGGGGAGGACGTTAGAGGGGGAAGCATTTGTAGCATGTGCCCCAATCTTCGGTTAGCTGAGCTCAGTCATGATCTACAATTGCAAGAACCTCTGGCTGAGGCAGGTGCTTCCTTTTTGTCTTTCACGTGTTGTGAATATAGATACAACATTCAGCTCCTCTGAGAAAAAGTGCCATTTACCTCTCAGTATACCTGAAGCATTTTTGTGAGCTTTACAAGGGAATGTGTCTAGAACACACACTCAGGAATTCAGCGTTTTTAACGTGGGAACTGACATACAGGTGTCTGTATGTGTTGCCTGGTCTAGTTGAGAGGCGTCCCTGCCCATGACAGGGAGGTTGGATTAAATGATCTCTAAGGTCCCTTCCAACCTAGGCCATTCTATGATTCTATGATCTGTAGCCACTTGGATAAACTGAAAGATTCTATGATTCTATCTGCTGAGCACACTTGCTCAGCAAGGCTTTTGCCTCACAAGTGTTTTGCCAAATAATCTGGAACAAGCTTTTATATCTCCACCCTTTCCTCTAAGAACCCCTACCAAATGTTGTCAGATAAGCAAACTTTTAAGAAGTTTGCTTCCTGTCCAAGCAATTTTAAATTGCTTATTGTGTTCTGCATATTTGACTGTGTGGTTACTGGCATGCCAGCATCCTCTTGAGATTCTGTACATTGACACATGACATTATGCTTTTAATAAAATAAAGATACTTAAGTTTAATGACATGGAAATCTGAGACATTATATGAAGCAGTGAGATTCTAGTGCAACCGTACTGATACTGTTATCTGCAGAACACACAGATAAGTAGCAGTAGGCATCAAAAGGATTGCTGAATGGCTTTACTGTGGCAAGATATTATTTTCACTAATGTTCAATTTAAATACTTTCTCAGAAGATGTGGTAGTTCATTATGGATAGACAGAGTGAGATCACTTACCAGTCAGTACAACTTTTCCAGACACAAAGATAAGCAGCACTATTCTTGGTTTGACCATCCTATAAATAAGGCCAGGAAATAGTTCAGGTTCATAGCTGTTTCAAAGCAAGCGGGTAAGATTAGTAAAATCCAAATACTGTTTCAGTGTTGTATGCATAAACTGCTCTTTAATTATATTAACAGAATAACTGAGCCCACAGGTTTTAGTTAGCTACCCAGAGAAAGGCAGGTCAGGTTTTAGATATCTTCAAGAGAAAGCTGGTAATCCCAGCTGGAGCTGGTAGGAGTTCTTCATGCTTACTTTTAAAGACTTCTGAATGTGGTTTTCCATAGCACTGAAACCATTTCTGTAATCTTCAAACAGTACTCAAATCCTTCTTAGTCTGCAAAGAACCCTTATCAGGAAGCATCTTGTGCAACTAGGACAAGATGACAGCCAAGCGAACCTTGAATATCTATTTAATTCCCACATTAAATGCAAAAATATTAAATGCAGCGCTAGTGAGAGACACAACTGAATTTTGATTTTCATGAGTGTTAAAACCTTCATCCTTTCCTTGGTGATGGCAATAGCTAGTTCTGAACAAGCCCATCTTGACGGCACAGCATGCCCGTCACTCAGCTACAGGTTTACTTTGAACTGATGGCTTATAGGCATCCGGACAGAAAGAACCAAAGCAATATCCCAGAAACACACTATATTTTCAGTTATGTATTTTTCAGCTGCAGTCTGGCTTCATGCTTGAAGGTTAGAAACCTTATCCTTAGTAGTAAAGATTCACAATGGAGTAAGGGCATAGAATAGGTTCAAGTAGCTTAAGAGCTGCTCCAGTTAAACCTAAAATGTTTAATTTTCTTATCAGCATGGTCTGCAGTGAAGAAAAATACCCACTAGTGTACTTGGCAATAACAGGAGTCTGGTAAAATTGCGATCGCCAGCACTGCTCAGATTAATAAAATCTCTAGTGCATGTTGCTGATATGCAGTGATGCCAAAGATTGTGTCAACAATGTTTGCAGTTCCAGAAGGATGTTACAAGAAGAAATCTCTTCATTAACTAACTGAGCAAAGCACCCAGGAGCTCCTTGCAGATCTTCAGCCCTTCGTCTTAACCAGATCTAACGTGCATCCAGTTTACTCCAGAAGTGACTGAACACTTGTGCAGCGTGCTCGCAGTTTTGAGCTTTCCAAACCTGGTGTTAAGTGTGTCTGTGCAAGGAGAAAGCAGGGAACGCCATGCACGAGGGCAGTTTAGAGGAGGCCTTCACCGCTGAATTGTGTCAGCCACAGTTTCGAGCACTGGAAGCCTTACTAGCTAGCATCACCCTGGCAATTCAGCAGAGGGTCATTTTGGCCTGGGCCGCACTCAGAACAGGAGTTACTACAGAAGATAAACCTTACTACCTTTATTGTGACATGTGGCATCCACAGCTACTTCATGCTTGCTGAACCAGTGACCATGTCTTTCCGTGAGCAGAAGGCATGCTTGGTATTCGTTATCCGGTCAATTATTACTCTTTTGCCAGACTTGTACAGCCTCGGAATTTGAGTCTGCAGCTTACAAAGGACCCTGCTCCAGCTTGCTTGGGCTTGTACCTCTGTGACTTCCACATACTGTGAGTGAGAACCAAGCCTTCCAGCCGGATGGGGAACCTCACGTCGCAGCTCCCAACCATATTCTGTATCTTGAAGTCCAGGAACTTGGCGGGGAAGCCAAGCTTCTGCACCACACGTGCATATTTCCTGGCTGCGAGCCGCGATTGCTCCTCGCTGAAGGAAGAGCAGAAGGGGAAAGCAGCTTTGATTAGTGTTTTCTTCTGCTCTTGAGCTAGAAGTCACTTTAGAGCCACCGCCATGCTAATCTGCCCTCCGGAAAAAGACATGCTGCTGCTTGAAACAGCATCTATCCCCAGAACCACTTCAGTGAGTGAGAAGGCACCTTGTGTCATTTTCACTTTCCTGTGGTCTGTTAGAACACACTGGAGGACATAGGAGTTCCCCTCTTGAGAGGTTTCATTCTCAGTTCCTTACAGCAGCTCCTCAGAGCTGATCCAAGAGGCAGAATGCTGACACCAGTGCAATCACCTAGCTCCTTTGGGACAGCAGTAGGGCTCGGAGGTCTGCTCAGCTGTAAGTTAATGCATTATCTCATTGGTAGTTTAGGGACATAGGAACAAAGGCAGCTGATGGACTGGAGGAAAAGAGCTTCTCAGTATAGAAATAATCTTTCCTTTTCTCCAATTCCTATTTTCTCTACAGGCAGATGTATTGACTAAAGAACACAGACACCAAAGAGTGACTTGACAGACACAAGTTATGTCCTAACTCACTTTAAAGTCAGCGAGACATGCAAATAACCCCTTAACAATTCCCGAGCATTTTAGCAGTTTCTCTGCTAATGTCTGCTCAGCTCAATCTATATTCAGGGACAGAAGTACACAGTTCAATAATTACTAAACTGCCATCATGAAGAAAGCTGGACATTTTCCAATACCAGCACTTAATTTTGTCCCTTGCAATTGTGAGAGCCCTTTGCTAGATAATTTAAACAAGGTTTTCTGTCATTTTTGTAAATCAGAATATAGGAATAGCTACTAGATTCAGAGCTTAGAGAGAAGAACAACAAACAAAAAAGTACCTTTTTGCTCCTGTACAGACCATTTTTCCTGAACTGAAGATGAGGGCTGTTGTTCGTGGTTCTCTGATTCTCATGATCACAGCAGCAAACCTCTATAAATTCAAAGAAAGAGCTCACAGTCCAGCTGAGAGATTTAGCTGGTATCGCTGTTCATTTTCTCAGGAATTGCCACTTTCAAAGCTGAATACAGCATGCGTTCGTTTTGTAAAAGTGTTTATTCACCACCCTGAAGTTATTTTCTACCCACCTAGGACCAGGGAGCTTAAGACTACAGTCACAAGACCATTGCCTTGTCCCTTACATTTTGTTGAGCAGCCTGGAGTCATTTGTATAAAAGCCCATTATTCCTAGAGAGACTACAGTTTAGGCCACTTGCTAGAAGTATCATGTAATACCAGTTTGTCACCAGTAATTCTCTTTCCTTCAGCCAAAGATTTTGAGACAGATCCTTCCTCCCCTGAGCAAGGGGTGCTTGAGCCTTTTCAGCTGGAGGTAGCTGGCCACAGCTGTAAGTTGGGAGAGTTCATTTCCTTTCTTAAATGACTTAATAACATCTTGTTGCTGGGGCTTTATTAAAAGGGGAAAAAAAAAAAAAAAAAGAATGTCTTTGTGGTCACCTGCATTTCTTTAAATTTAACAGGCCCAAATTTTGGATTTTTGACTTTCCCTGCGGGTCAAGCCAGTGCTATTAGTAAAAGTACAAAGCTTATGGTGAATTTTATATTAGAATCCATCAGCATTGAGAAAGGGAAGTGAGGATAAAGCTTTGAGTTCTTAAGATTTACCTTTGGGTTATACTCTGCATTTCTGGCATGCAGAGCTATGTTCTTCAGATCTAGTTTACAAGCCAAGTTTACAGTCGACACTATATTCCTAGGGAATGAGAGAGGAGTTTTTCTTGTTGTAAATGCAAACCACTGCAGAACCAACCCCCAACATTGAAGTCACACTCGCATTAAGAATTGCCATCAACTGATTTCCTGCCTATCTCTTTCCCATTCTAGCACCAAGCCACTTTGGCAAAACTTGAGCAATTCGATACCAAAATTACAGCTTCCAAGGTATAACAAGTTACAAAATGTTTAGTTCCTGAATACCAAGTTTGTGTCTTCCAGTAACTACATGGCTGAAGTCTTTTAAAGCTTTGAACTGAACCATTACAGAGTATTTACAGAGCTACTAACATCACTCAAGGTAGGACAGGGTATGTTATTCTCTGCAGGTATAAGCTACTCCATAGTTGCTCTAGCCTAAAGAGCACAGGATCTTTTATTGAGGTCTGAATTTCTCATACTTCTTTTCACGCTCCTTTCCCTTGCACAGCTCAGACTGTTTCTGCTCTCAGCAAAGCAGAGCAGAACCTTCCAGCTTCTCCCTGCTCAGAGGAATCCTCCTTTTCAAGTATCTTTGTCTTTTCAGCCAGAAGACTGAAGTAACTAGTAATACATACTGTGTACAAATACATTTCTACCAAACACTTTTCCCTTTGAGAGGCTTTATCTCCTCTCTCCCAGAAGAGACTTTTCCCCCTTAGCAAGCCAGAGGCATCTCAGATACTCGCTCACCCAGAACATTTATCACTCTCCCCTATTTTGCTAAGCTGGGTATTCATCTGTGCCACCTCCACGTTTTGTATCGCACTGCTCAGTGTGGTATCCAGTTGCCTTCCAATACTGTCAGCTCATTTGCTCCAACTCAAACAGAAATAACTGTCTCTCTGTTGTGGTGTTTTTTTTTTTTCTGAGTGGATTTATTTAAGACCAAACCACACTTGCTACATTCTTCAGTGAGAAGCCAGAGCAATGCTTTGCAGTTTAAGCACAACTACAACTATTACATATGCTACATGTATAATACATACATAAACTTACTGTAATTGAGGAACTATGCCAGAGCTTTCGGGCGCAGGTGTCACTGGGGTCATAGGAGTCATTGGTGTCAGAGAAGTGCACGCACCAGATGCCTCAGGAGATGGCTGAGTTGCATCTGGACAGGACACGCTGCTTTCATGCATGAAGATACTGCTGTCCTCGTTTCTTGATATTGATCCATCAAGCTCTTTTTTCATTTCATGACCAGCTTCAAACAGATTTCGTTCTTTGTTTTCTTGGGTAACATCCGGAAGAAAGCTGAGATCCACAGACGAGAAGTCTGTAAGGGGCTCTTTGGGCCGATTAAATTGAGAACCAAGCAACACATCTTCAGTTGTTTGAATTGGAAGGTCTACATCGTAAGGGCTTACAGAAGCGAACAGCTGAGGACTACTTGAGAGGTCATCCTTGAATTAAGAAAAAGAGTCATTAAGTATCTATTTTAAAACTTTCACTGGAAGACTAAAGATTGATCCTCTGTTTAATATGGAAGTTGAAATAAATTTTCCCCATGCATGTTATAGCAAAAAATAGCCTTAAGATTTGAAGGCCTGGTGTTTGCTTGTCCGTCAGCATATAAAAATCCAGGTAACTTCTACAGTGGAGATAACACATTTTCCTACCACACTTGGAAGGCGGTCTGGAATACTCCACCCCCGTGATACCCCAAATTGAGAAATGCTACACACCTCCACCAGCGTTGGCACTTTGCCCTTCACAGCTGCTGTCGTGCCCCGACTATGCACATAACCAATATAATTGCTCATGGGTTTTTCCAAGGAAGACAGCTGGCATTTTCTGGCTGGCTTTAACTCCCCTTCAGTACATTATTACTATTTCCTCTCCCTGCTCCCAGGGGACGGTGTCGATGTTGTGTTGGATTTGTACAACAGAGGGCAGCAGCTCACAGGATCATGAGCATTTTGTTTTATTCTTTCAGCTGCGGGAACTCAGAGTCGTTAAAATGAGGCACAGTGAGCAAAACCAGCATTCTTTTCCCGAATCAAGCATGAAATATATCTGCAAGCAAATTCTTGCATACTGATGTCCTTTATCAGCTATTTAAGAGGCATCGTAATATTGATGAGGCAAGATTTTAGGAAAGGCTTTTTCCCTTTGGGCATAATCCTCTAGTTAGTGGAGAGTTTCTTCCAAGAAAGTGGTTTCTGCCGTACAGCAGGTAACAGCTTGGATTATATGATCCATACAATAGGTTTTGTGTTCATTTAGGGTGTTTTTGGGCTCGAGAGCCAAAAGGACTTGACAAGTCCCAGCACAAGTGAGAGCAGAGAACAGCACACAAGACTGAGGCCCTCGAGTTGGCAGCAACTGCCCAAGCTCCAGCATCAGTTTCCAGATAAATGCTTTTCAGCCCTGAGCTAGTGCTGCTCTATGTTCTGTGCTACTCAGCTTGCTTAGCAAAACAGCCGTGCACACAGGGAGGGATCTGCTCCTGCGTTGCAGTATATTTGCCTGTAGACACTTGGAAAACTGTTACTAAGTGACAAGTCCTCCCAGAGAACCCATCCTTCCTCAAATGCAGATGCAATCAGGTCTAGCTCTGAAAGCATCATGAGCACCTAGGTTGAAAATTGTTTCTAAAATTGACTTCTATATGCATTTGGGACCAGATACAAATGTATTAACAGTTGCAAATAACAACTATTGAATAACCAAAATGCATCTGTTTTTAAATATTTTTCAAGTTGGCAAGAGGTGAAGAAAGGCATAGTCTCTGCAAGACCTCTGGTGGACTAAGGCTTAGCTGCACAGGAGCTAATTAAGAAAAGCTTTGTGTGAGCCATGATGCAGAGAAGATGGTAGAAAAAAAAGCCTCATTACTGCAAGCCTGGAGGACTCCTCACACATCATACTAATGATGTGAAAATGCAATAAATGTAAGTCACCTCTTACTTCCAGTTTATGGCATAGCTTAAGGAAGCTGATGGGAAAACACTTGGTATATGAGGCTAGAAGTATTAAACAGCTCTTAAAACAAGTAAAATTAAAAAGTAACAACATAAACTGCTTAGAGCAGGTAGAGAGGAAAAGCAAATATTTCTTATCAGGTTTCCATGTAACTAGTCTGGGAGAAAGGCCCTTATAGGGTTAAGTGCTGGGAAGGATTGCTTTCCTGTTGGCCAGATGCTCAGAGGCTTCGAAAGGGGGCACAAGACCCTGTTTATGTTGGGCTGGCTGCCAGGGGTTATTGCTATAGACTCTAGGTTAATTAACTTCACTGAAGGCCCCATCAACTGCATAGCTTTGGACATCTCCCAGCAGCTCCAGGAAGGAGATTTCACACGCAGATCCTGTCTGAGATCACTGAGCTTGGGGCAGCCTGAGGGGGAACGGCCATTTTTCACTTCCACTGCAGGAAGCCTGGCAACCCAGGTACAGGGTAAATCAAATGCAGCTGCTTTAAGCAACAGACTCAGATTTTTTTTTTTTCTTTATTTCTGCAGTGATCTCTCACACATCTGCTGTCGTCAAGTATCCCAGCAAGTCTGAAATGCAAAAAGCCAGTAGGATTTGTAAAAGCCTGGTTATACCTTCCCACTTTCTAGGGCTATATTTGGAGGGCTTTGCTGACTGCCACTGGGAGGTCTTTGGATTTAAACAGCCTGTGCTAAACTCATATTCTGAGCTGAGAAGTAGCTTAGAGCCGAACGCATACAAAGAAGTTGTGCCCTGGGTGAAGGTGATGCTCAGCAGTGGAGCTCAGCCTTCCCCTAGTCCCTGCCTCTATTGCCTCTGCAACCACCTGTGACCTGCAGGCCTATTCCAAATACCACAAAAAACAAATTCACAAACATTGACCAACCAGCACAAAGAGATCCTAGCCTCCTGCCTCCCCTCAGTGCCTCAGGACCCACTAGCACACAGGTCGGTCCCCCCAAATCAGCCCTCCATACCAATTAAACCAGTGTAATTTCTCTTGCAGCAGATCAGAACGACCTCCCATAGCACAGAGACCCTCTGGGACTCCTCCATGCTGTTACAGCTCGCTGCTCCCCCCGGGGGAGGCTGGGTCGGAACAGAGAGGAGCCCCCGAAAAGAGGTGGAGACGCCCTGTCTGCTCCAGAAGTTACACTTATGGCGCAGGACAAGACATTAGTCAAGGGCGGCGTTGGTGGTATAGTGGTGAGCATAGCTGCCTTCCAAGCAGTTGACCCGGGTTCGATTCCCGGCCAACGCAGCATTAATGCTTTTAACTTGTGGGTTTGTTTGTTTGTTTTTTTTAAATTTAAAGCCCCTTACCTGCCCGTCGCACTGCTCCAGGTACCGCTCCAGCGGTGACACGCCGTCCATGGGCGCAGCCGCCCGCCTGGGGCCCCCAACATCTCTCCCGGACCCAGCTTTAACCCCGACGGGGCGGCACCCAGGCTGGGAGCAGGTGGGCTTCGTCAGGGAGCAGAGCCCGGTGCAACTGGTCTTAAATATGCGAGGGTTGCGAGTTTTACCCCCACAAAAACAGCCTTTGAAGGCTTTCACCTGGCCTTGGCGGGGTTTTTCTGCAAAGGGTTTGTTCCAGCCTGTGGAAGGGACTAGAGAAACGGGGGTGCTCCCGTGGGATTTACCTGAGCTCCCCTGAGCCTGCTCCCTTCAGCGGGGCCGAAGATAAACGAGGAGTCAGAGCTGTGGCTTAGGCCTTGCAAAGATAAGAATTGGCTTCTAGGTGGGGCTTTTCAGCGAGCAAGTGTATTGTGTCCTTAACTTCTCCCAGCTGTCTCATCAGCTGCAATAAGGCACATCTGGTACTTTGAGAGGAGCCCCAGGCCAAAATTATAAACCTCAAACTCAAGCCATTGCAATGAAATGGCCTATTCTCAGCTGGGCCAGCAGTGATAACGCTGCTTAGGGCGAGTAAGCCCTTACTCCGTGTATTTGTTGCTGTCCTCCCCTTGCAGACATTTTTCTCGCTGGTGTCTCTGTCTCTCCCAGCTGTGAGCGATGATTTCAGGCCACTCCTTTTTCTAAAAGACTCATGCGTGGAGGTTCCGAGTGTGAGGCAGCGTGTTCCCGGGAGGAAGCTTGTTATTGTGCCTCGCTGATTGATGCGGTGGGAGTCTCACGCTGCCGACGCAGCTTGGCGTGACTCCACGCCAGCGATTGCTGTCTGACTTGTTCCTTCTCACCCATCCCATCTCTGTGCAGTGATGGATGGATGGGTTTTGGCGAAGGTGCAGCTGGGGACACATCCTTGTCCCTTTCTGGGCTGGTGGATGTGCTGACTGCCGTCATCAAGGCACCTGTTGCTCTGCTATGCAGGCTTTCTGATGTGAGATTTGCTTGCAAACAGCTAGCTGAGCTCAAAAAACACTTTGGAAGACGATGTCAAAGCCCAGGCATGGAGCAGGTCTTTGAGAGGTGCTGCCAGGCTCTTCTCACTGCCCCAGAGGTGCAAAGGTTTAGGTTGGTATCCCGTATCTGGGGGCAAAGCATATGTGTTGGCCAAGCATCCTTCCCTCCTCAGCACAGCCTGCTGGGCTGGTTTCCTGATGTTTCTGTGACTCACCTTGCCCCAGTACTTTACAGGTGCCAAATTTCCCCAGCCTCAGAAAAACCCAGCCCCAAGCGGGTTGATTTACATCACACAGCCTGTTCCCAAGCACCCAGGAGGCAAGTTAAGCGGCAAAGGAGGAGAAGGCTCTCTGTGAGGTTGCACCTTGAATTACGGAGGCTGGTGGAGCTAGCTCAAACCAGTTCAGGATGGTTAAAATTAAAATGGTTCATTTAGAGCCGGTAGGTGATTGAGGTGATTGCAGGTTGCAGGCAGCTCCATGCCTGCTTTTGCCAACATAACAGGATGGGGTACCAAGGGCCCTGATGTGGGGGTCTTGCTCCCACCAGTAGCAGCAAGCCCAGTCCTCGCAGGTCCCTCTGTGATGATGTGGGCCTGCATTGCCCACAAGAATCATTGAATTCATTGCAGGGATTGTGCTGAGTTTGTTCTGTCCTCACAGTGACATCTCATGGGGACAGGAGATTGGCGCTCCCCCGGTGTGTGAATACTGTCGCTGCGCTTCAGTCGGGAAGCTGGAGTCTTGTGGTGGTCATGGTGTTTCCGTGGTGTGGCCCTGTCCGTAGCATTGCAGCTGTAGTGCTATGAGTGTCCTCAACTACTGAATCCTCTATTGCACTGCAGAAACCCCTGGAGATGAGATCTGTTCATCCTGCAGCTCCTGGGGACTGATTTATCTGCATTTTATGAACCTGACATAGAGAGGTCAAACCATGGTGGTTAAGTAAGGGAGGCTATGTCAGAGATTAAGATAAAACACAAATCTCTTACTATTGGTGTTGCTTCTTGCCTTAGATCGGGGCATCCTGCAAATGACATGGGCACCAGCAGGGATGGGATTTGGGGGAAATCATGGAGTTTGCTGCTATTTCTATTAAATGGATGTAAGATTGTTTACTTGTCTCAAGGTGGAGAGGAAGGGAGGGTGTGTAGAAAGCTTGAGAGATCCTCATGGGAGTCAAGAGTCCCATTGTGAGGGCAATTCGAGCTCTCAAAGTTGCTTTGATGTAAGGGAATGGTGGATGCTGCCCGAAGGAGGGGAGGCTTGGCTGTGCCTTGGGAGCGCTCTGTGTTTGCAGCCTCCTCCTTAAGGCTGGGCACCCACTTGTGGCACCCAGCATGTGGGAGGCTCAGCGAGTGGGGTGCCCAGTGATGGGGAGCCCCAGAGAGTGGAGAACCAGGAAATGGGAGCTCCAGAGAGTGGCCATCCAGCGAGCAGGAGGCGCCAAGTCCCTGAGCTTCCCCCTTTCTGAGCCTCCCAATCTCTGGGACTCCTCAGTCACAAGAGGCATCATCCTCTCTGCTGTGAGGCAGTGTCTTTCCTTCCTTCCTTTTTTAGGAGACTCTGACCCCTGTCGTCAGTTGGACAGATGCTATTTAAAATAGATCACTTGGAACTCATGAGACTTACCTGCTCAGTTTCTGATCATCCAGGACAAATAGCATTAGAAAGGGCAACTATTTTTTTTTCCCATCCCAACTCCAAGAAAGATTATTTTTGTCTCAAGCTGCATTTGTTTTTCTTTTGTTTTTCCTTTCTTTTCCCTTCTTGTTTTTCATTTTTTTAATTCCCTTTGGAAAGCAGCAGCTGCCTGAAGCCAGGTCGAGGTGATTCAGAGCAGGGAAGGAGCCGCACTCGCTCCTGCACGCTGGAGGCAGCCGCTGAGTAGTGGCGGGGGCCAGTTATGGGGTGATGAATCATCTCAAGTGCATAGTTACCATAACTATGAATTGTCATGAGTCTCCATTAGCAAATTGGTTAATTTTACTGAGACAGTTGATGATTAGTACAACAGTAAGTGCTTTGTGTGTTCTTTGTAAGGGTCATTCAATATCGTTCTTCCCTGGGTAACTAATTGGAGAATACTATTCCACAGACCTTCTGCTAGCATTCCTGTATCAGCCTCTTAAACATTTCTCTAGCAGGCATTCCTTCACTACCTGGGTGCTGTAATCTAGTTATGGGGTGAGACTAATCATAGGAGAATTTCAAAAACCTCTAAGGGACAAGGAGCAACTCAGTAAGGAGGCTCTACCTGTTTTATTCACTAGTACGCTCAACCACTGCTTTCTCTTCTAGCATGCCAGCACTTTGCTGCTTGCTTTAAAGTTGCTTAATCTCATTTGACTTTATCTTATCTTTTTCGGGAGCCAGTTTAGGAATTAAAAGCTCATGACTGACAGTGTTCTGTTTTCTGCTCTCCAGAGCTTCATGCTAAACTTTTACAGCTGTAATTGTCTCAGAAGAGTGTAGCTTGTCTCAGGTCTATCTTGCATCTTCTCATGCCCTGAAGCATTAAAGCCCTGCTTTTGGAGGAGGTAGAAGAGCAACAGAGAGCAGGATGGTGTTCTGAGAAAAGAGCAATATATTATGCACAAGATGGCTCTGAATGTAGCACCTTCCAGCTACCCCAGAACCCCACTTCTCTAACAACAGTAGAACCCAAGTCTTGTTGTAAAGGTGATTCCTTCTGTTTGGTTTAGCCCTGTTGTGGCCCCTGTGCCTCGATTCCCTTCTTGCCAGGGATGTAACTAGAGTGAGGTGCTGAGGAGGACCCCAAAGGGGGTCGGAGAGAAGAGCAGAAGAGATGCAGCAAGGTCGGTGGGCTCTGTGTGAGGGAAGGACCTGCATGGAGCTGGCAAGGCTCTCAAGAAGCAGCTGCAGCCCAAAAGGCACCTCAGAGGTTGATGCTAGAGTGCCTTCGGTCTGACGAGTGTGACCATTGCTCTCTCATACTTATTTGTCCTATAATACTCCACTCTAGACCTGATCAATTCTTGTCAGTGTCAGTAGATACTGGATTTATTGCCAAGAAAGGCAAGAAGCCACCATGACTACTCATTGAGTAATAGTGAGTAACTTGACTTTTAATTGTGAATTATTAAGTGTGTCATCATTAGGGTGTGCTGGTGTACATATGAACAGAAGCAGGACTGCTAGATTTGATACTTGGTTCTAGCTTGCCTCTGTGTAAATAAGGAGTAACTCCCTTACAGAAGTGAGGTTACAATGATTTCAAATAAGATCAGGATGTAGTTTAACTAGGTTACTTTCCATTTACCCCCATTAACTAGGTTACTTCCCATTTACCCTCTAGTGCCGTGTGTCCCTCCCTGTATCGGACGATGCAGCCCTGGTCACACAGTGGTGAAGGCTGCCTCTTCTTTGTCCTAGTTAAACTGGGGCTCAGGCTCTCTTCTTCCCTGAAAAGAACAATAATGAGGGATTTGGTACTCCTTGAGAACATTAGTGGGCTCTCTACATTTGTTTGCTAAGGCATGCGCCTTCAATGCTTGCTGGCAGAGACCAGGATGAGATCAATGTTCAGCGTGCATTGACTTCTGGATCAGGAAAGAAAGTCACTTCTGTCAGATGGAAAAGGGGAAAACTGGCTAGAAGAGCCTTTTTTTTTTTCTGACTTCTGCAGAACTATTATGTGCAGTGAAGACACTAACTGCCCCTACGTCAGAGAATTGCTGAGAACCGGACCCAGAGAGGATTGCCAAATCCTCCACTGAATGCCAGAGGAAGCACTGTAATTAGAAATCATCTGTCTCAACTGAAAGGCTGAATGGTGACTTTAAAACTAAACAGTTAACTTCATTTAATTTTACTCTCTACGCAAAGCAACAAACTGTTTAAATGAAGGCATTCTGTATGTTGTTTGCATAGAAATCCACTCATCCTGGCCCGGCTGAGCTGTTAAGCCTTGTTCATGTCAGGGAGAGCACATTGGTCTATTTTTATTTTTCATTCTATGTTGCACTTAAAATATGGTCAGAAAAG